TTGTTCCGAAAATATTTTGTCCAACAATACATTTCCTGTATCAATAGTGATTTATAACTTGTAACTTCATTTGTAACAGTTTCAAGCGAAGTACAAAGTTGATAAGACTGACTCTTGTCTGCACATTTCAGTTACAAAATTCGCAAACCACATTCATCAGTTGCAATTGTTGCTTTCTGTTCCATAAAATACTGCCGATTTCCATCCAAAATTCATTTCTCAATTGTGTACTTGAGATGGAAGGGTATGAGACATAATCAAGAAAACGAAGTATCGTTGTGCCCGATTGAATTGTGCGTAGCTCATATGTGAACTGTTTATGTGAACATTGATTAATAATTTTTCATGCAAAGAATGAGTTTGCCATCGCAAACACAGCACTCACAAGTCGGCAAAACACACGAGACGTTTTGTATTCGATTCTGTGAGCAAGTGGAAAGGAACTGCAATCAGAATGCAACACCGTCCAGTCCTCAATATACAGGAAAGATCAATAAAATTTTCACTCAAATGGCTGACGAAACGCGTTGGGTATTTTTTTAAATGAATATTTCTTCCGAATTTCAATTTGACGTTCAAGTGAGCTGAAAAAAAAAAAGCGTATTCACTCAGTGTCCCTTTGATGATGTGGTTATTTTTGTTGCAGAAGAAATTTGGTAACTTTCTGAAAAAGAAAAGTGAATTGGATGAAGGTGATCTGTTGGCCAGATTTACCACCAGTTGGTTTAATTCACTCCAAAACATTACTCATGGCTGCGAACTTCACCGACTTCGGATGTTTTTGTTCGTTTTTGATCTGATGAATGGTGACACATTGAAAGGAAAGTCGTTGATTACACTTACCGCAACATTGATTACACAGGTAACATACGGTCGTTTATTATTCAGTTTCGTATATTCCGATTTTGAATTCCTTTGCATTCATATAACTGAAAATTTCTATGCGCCATTCATCCCGTTCTTGTGATAGTTTTACCCACAGTTGAAGGATACGAAATTAAAGGGGGAAAACTGAAGGAATCAAAAATCATGGAGCCATTTGGATCAGCCGGCAGTGGAATGGAATATTTCTGAATTTCTTTTCTTGATAGTAACGGTTAATAAGGAAAAATCATCTTTGCACAGCCCAGAATATGGTTCTTTCCAACGTTTCGGCGTTTTACGCCATCATCAGAGGAGGAATAATAAAAGAGAGGACCAATGGTGGATTTTGTTTCCTTTCTAATTTCTGTTTCAGTTGAAAAAATTCGAACCAAAAGAATTGATTATTATTTGTGATGCAATTTCGGATCGTTTCGTTCGAGGAGGTATTATATCAAAAAGGTATTCTTTCGGAATCGAATAATCAGTTTGGAAGAAATAATTTTAAATTTATCTTTCTCTATGAAAATGATAGTCTTCTGACGTGAACTGTTCTAATGTAACTTTTGAAAAATTTTCAGAGCAGCACTTAAATTTCGGATATTTCGGGTACGAATCAAATAACGGATATGAATTTGTGTTATGTTTGCATTATTAGAGATATTTGAATATAAGTTCAGAGTTTAAACTTACAGATGGACTGGTATTGCAAGTGATATAATAAAGCACTTAACTGAAATGAATTCATCAATTTTTGTGGTGAATGAGAAATCTTTGAATGGTTATAAATATGTCGATGAATTTCTTCTAAAATTATTGGATAATGTGCTTGTGACTGGATCTTTCAATAGTCTCACCTCACTGATCGGGTTTATTTTCATTGCTAATATTTTAATTATTTTCATTATCATCCTTCCCAGTAATATGTCACTCGCATTATTGTTCTTAATATTATTATTATTGTCATGATCTAAATTTACCCTTGTAAATGTACCAGCTTTCAAAAGTTATTTCATCGGGTTGAAAAACTTTCAGTAGTTGCTCTCTGCAAACAACCCTGTATGAATACACCGAAAGTTTATTCAATAAAGAACTGAGTGCTCAGATTGCAACGAAATTGATCGCATTACTTGTATGGATACCAGATGAATTGCGCGAAAAGGTGAAGTTACTTTTAAAAGATTTTGTTAACTTTTTAAATGAAACCGAGTTATGATTTAGGCGGCATTTGGATCTGTCGACTGTCATTTATTTGTAGAAAAACATTAATTACTTCACACAGTTAGATACCTCAGTTGTTGGCTGCACATCAAACTACCAGACGTTCTCGTAAATGAACAATTCAATAGCCCATCAAGAGAAAGTTTGAGACCAGTCAAAAATTATGGTCATTAATTAAATTGATACATAATGATGTATTTTTAATGAAGTGAAGTCGATGTTAAAATGAAGTTTGCAATGAACTATGCCAAATCGATAGACTCTCAGATCATTGTGTATATAGACTGTATGACCCAAATATAAAAAAATAATACCAAGGTGAGAATTCAGGTACTGGGACACTTAATTTCGCATCTGAATGAATCAGAGGATTTATTCGATCTATCGAATCAACTCAATGAAGTGTTCATTTCAAACGCTGGTATCGCTCGTCTGGCTTTTAATTTATTGAAGGTAAATGCCATTACTTNTTTTTTTATCAATGTCGTATGTAGTGATAAAGATGAATTAATGATAAGAAAGAGACCAGAAATTATGCTAATAGCCCGCTAAATTGATCAAAGTAATTTTGATGGATATTTCAGAAAGATCGTCATTTGGTAACGTCTCGTATGTTTCCTTTGATATGTCAGCTATTACTATGTAATATTCCACGTTTACATCAGTCAGCATTAATCGAGCTGAAACAATCAATTGGAAAATTATGGAAACATTGTGATAAGATAAATGATAGTGCATGGATGAGAAGCGTTACTGGTGAATGCGATATTGAGTTGTTGATGAATAATTTTGATAAACTCATAACGATCATTTCAACTCAGCAAAAATGGCTCAGTATTGTTGAGCAACCACTTCATGAGGTTGCGTTCATGTTGATCGATGACAAATCGAAGTCGCAGTTGAGGATTGCGAATGGAAGGTTATTGATCCTTGCTGTTTTATTTATCGATTCATTCATTTAGCTATTCGGGTGCTTGTAACTTTTGTTTATTGATTTTGCTGTGGTTAATATTCCTTATAAAGGTTCGTGTATAGGTTGTGGTCTCAGGGTCTAGAAATAATTTTAAAACGAGACGAGACGAAATGGCCGATCTCAGTCTCGAATTATCGAGACGATACGAGAGTCTCCTCTCGTCTCGAATACCGATAAGGTGCGAGAAGGTTCATGGAGTTTTATCTAGATTGAGTGAAGCGATACGAGAGATTGATGCGAGCCGTTCACATCTTTTCCATTTATTTCTCGTTGGAACGAACAATTCATATGGAGACGAAGACTTTTGTACTTGAACTCCCGAATAGATAATTATTCTCCCCCAAAATCGACGTCATATTGCTTTGGTTCACATTATCCCTCTAAATTGACTTCTCTTTAGCGAGCGATTTTGCGACTCATTCTTTTGAATTTCGCAGTTAAGGTTCGATTTAATTTGTTCAGTGAATGACATTTGAAGATTGTTGTGTTTTATTTTATAATATTCGAAAATAACCACAAAATGCTTTAAGGATCGAGGGCAATGCACCTGTTTTGATGATGGGTAAACGTTTATTATTGACTATAGCCGCAACAAAACCAATTGAAATCGCGAATCTGCTTGATAAAATATTTCAAAAACTTTCTGTGTCAACCAATCATAACTCATCTCTTATTCTCATCGGTGATCATTTTTGATATTGAGATTATTGTTATTCTCATAATAATATTATTATTATTAATATTTTTATTGTTATCATTATCACTTAATACTTCTTTCGTTGTAATCCAGAGATTTTGTACCTTTGTGATATTGTGACTGAATTAATTTATTTGCAGATGTGATATTAAATATTGTAATGGAACATACTATACATTTATTGAACTCATGGAAGAGTTTGCGTCGTATGGTTGATGCCGTGTGTTGCTTCAGTGAGGTATTTTAAGATTTGTGATGCAATATGATTTCAATTATGACACGACTGGGGTGCTTCATGGGTCTCTTTAAACCAGCAATACGCTTTATTGGTTCGTAGAATTTTAAACTGAGAATATTCCAATCGAATATTGAGAAATAATTTGAGGAGAATGGAGTATTGTTAGTTCGTGCACTGTTACCGGTGATCATCCAGCGCGAGCAGCTCGTTCAGTTGATTGTATCGCGAATGCGTCGCTATGTTCTCTGCGAAACAACCTCATCTACAGCTCTACCAATACTTTTACTTCTGTTGAGGTCATCCACTATCCGATCAGCAATCAGAAATGATCAGTTCACACAATCATTTGCTACATTCTCTACACAGGTTAGCTAATCATCAGGCACATTCAGTGACTTGTTAGTTTTGTTCAGTTCGTGTGAAGATTGTTTAAATGCGATGATGTTGATTGCAGTGTGATTATATTTTAATGAATTTGTTCTGTGGATTGATGTAGGTAAGTGATACGTGTTTGAGGCATTGCAAACAATGGGAATTAACACAACGAAAGGAAATAGTGATGTTGCAATAGAGATTATATCAATCCTGAAACGAGCCCTATCACAGCCAGCCTCCACTAGATCACAACTTTATAAGTGAGTTTTATGTTCCTTGTTATTTTCCATACATTGTAATGTTGTTGAGTGCGTACAACATTATTCATTATTATTGAGAACTTGTGCACATTCGATAATTGTGGTGTTCATTAAAAAAAGAATGTGATTGTTATCGATCTCATCCCAATTCAAGAGGAATAATCGAAGCGTCCTATGCAAATGAGAATCTGGTTGACGGTGCTCTTGATTTGCTGCTAACTCATCTTTCAACAACGCCTCCCATCTCTCGCGATAATTATGTTGAATCGAATAAAGTATCAACTGTTCTGTTAGAGCCTTTACCTCAACTTATTCAGGTATTTTACTGTTTCAATTCTTCCCTTCGAATGCGTTTTTTTTTTTGCATGATAACCCATAAGAAAACATCAAAAGGAATCCAGTGGATTGATGGCAATGGTATTAGTATTAATGCTAACAATAAGAGGAAGAATTACAGTCATATTGAAAACATCAGTAACAGTTTCGTAATGAAACGAAAAAGATTGTAGGCAGTAAGTGTGTTAGTTCGTTTGTCGATTCATAGTCTTCGCAATACATCAACGCAAGTTGTAAGCTCGAAAGACGCTCAAGTGGTTGCGGCTAATTCCGAGTTGGATAAATTCATCGAATTTGCTCGCGACCGAGATGTTCACGATTTAGAGGTTATTATTTTTGGTTGGATATGCACCTTGGAACTTTGTTATTATAATAATTCGTACAGCGCGATAGTTGACCGTTTTCCAGAGTTTTATGCAGAGCATTGCTAAGAGGAGAGAGCCAGCCCAGTGCGGCCTTCATTTGTTGAAATGAAGATTACAGAATAAATGAATTTCAAGGTTGATAAATTGTCTGACTTCTCAACGTCGGTCACTGGACGTGCAAATGTTTTGTTCTCAACTATGCTCATTGCCTTATATGATGCGTTGATAGAACATTTATGGCATGTTGGAAATGTTCTTTTACAGTAAGCCTTCAGTTGTCGCTTTGCTCGTTCATTCAGTTATTCACTTGGTGTCGTTACCAAAGAAATTTTGGATCACTTTTTTTT